CCCCCCCGTGATTGTACAAAAGTGAGCAACGGCCACAAGACTTACCAGGGTGCTCCAACAATTCGTACAACATTCTCTCTCGGCTCTCTCAAGGGATCTATTGGGTATTGGTAGTCCCATCTTGCCAAACATGCAACATCATTGCCAGCAATACACTACGTACATCGAAGCAGGGCAGCTTCACAAGACGCGCCGCATATAGCCCCACTGAGGGCGAACTGCCAGACCAGTACGCCGAAACGACTTATTATCGACACCATCGATTAGACAATATACATCCCGAGAATTCCTCTGCGATCGCTGAAGAAACGAGGCGGGACCATCGTACCTCTCCCGACAGAACCAAGCAAAAAACAGCCATAACCGAAACTGTTGCCACATCGGCCGAAAACATGGCATCCACCGCCGACCGCGCCAGCAGCAACAACAGCGCGGACGTCACCGTTTAGCGAAGGGAATCCAGCCACGAACGAGTCTTGCGTTGGAAGAGCCCCTTCACCTGCGTCCAGCGGCAACGTCGCAGAGAGGGGTCAAATATTATTGCAATCACACGCGGTGATCATGAGAATAGACGGGCATTTTGCGTTTCACGTGGACGTTCTCCTTCTACCGATAGTATGCGGTTGACCGTTGAGATTGGCGTTTTTCGCAAACATGAGCAGCGGGCGAATGGGACACAACACCCACGTCCCACAGCGGGATCGCTGGCATTGTATCTGGGGTTGGTAGTTCAAGGGGGGGGGGTTCCTGATTACCCAACCCAACGTAAACCCTCTCTAGAGTATGGGACGGCAACGACAAACGGGCATGCGACTTGAACATAGCTCAAGGAGCTGGGTGTGCGCCACTTTGCGTTGAAACGGAGAGATGTTGAAGTTCTCGGGGAATAGAGGTCGTCTGCGGGGCAGAGTTTGTCGTCGTTGACCTCAATGCAAAGAATGTTGAGAATAAAGAACGTACAGGTGTTACATTTCCAACACAAACACAATGGAGCCCCGGTATTTGATGAGGCATGGTTCACATATGCCTCGACAGAAATCGAATCGTTGCAGCTGTAGCAATTAACCGATTATTTGTCATTTCGAACCACAACCAAAACTGACACATCGCTAGCAAAACGAGAAAGTAGTACGAAAACAGGTGCGATATCGTTCCAGGAGTGGACAGTAAGACTGTAGGGTGACGTGCTTGCGTTGCTACAGAATCGACAAACAGCCCGGGAAGGATAACCCAAGGCTTCGACAAGAGGTGGTAAAGATTTCGGGCGCTCGCTGCCTGATGCCGGCGAGACACGCAGGAAGCGTCGGCAGCAGCAGAGGTAGGCGGCGGCGCGGCAGACAGGGCCCCTAGACCCTCTGGCACGACGGCTCAAGACCATCGCCAAGGACACTGCTGCGGCGGAACCATCGCCGGAGGCCGGAGAAAAAATGTGCCGTGGTGCCACCTAGGACGCGCTTTGCTTCGGGTTAGGGATATAGGATTCGAGTACCGTAAGAGTTCCCCCCTATAGTGGTGCCACCCATCGAAGAACGCCCGTTCGTCGCCAAAGCTCTAAAAACAAGCCCTCGCTTCGAGAGGTGACGCGACCCTCGCGTTTCGCAGCCCGCGGTGGAAAGTAGGTGTTTCGCCTTTTTACCCCCCCCCCCCTCCCCGGTGTTTGCCATCGGGGTTTGGGTTTTCGTCGCTTGGCAACGACGTTGTAAAACAAGCCCCCCACTCGGTGTTTGCCATCGGGATTGGGTTTTCGTCGCTTGGCAACGACGTTGTAAAACAAGCCAATTCACTTCGTGAACTCGACAACCAGGTTACCGTTTTTTTTTTTTACCTCGGTTTTTTTTTTTTGGCGGTAACCATAATGGTGGTCGAGTAGATCATGTTGTGCGGGGTCGACAACCCTCACTCCGTGCAACGGGGGATGATCGCACCACGTTGTGTTAAAATGGTCAAGCTTCCTCGAGGCAGTTACACAGTGCTTACAACTGTCTCTGGAAGTGAAAGCACCAGAAAATAAATTAAGTCATACGTAGCTGTCATCCGTACGCAAGGAAGTAAGCACAAGATGCCGAACACCCTTAGCAGGATGCAGCTCACCCTTCATGCGACTCGCCAAATACCTCACGGCGCTTCGCGCTTGGTGATGTGAGAGCCTGGTCCGGTGAGAACCCGGCGTGCTCCGTCCCGGCTTTGTAGGGATGCGAGGTCAATGGTCAAACGACTACGGCATGCACGACTATGAGTACACCCCCCCCCCCCCCCGCCCCCTATCGGGGTTGGGTTTTCGTCGCTTGGCAACGACGTTGTAAAACAAGCCGCCCCCCCCGGTGTTTGCCATCGGGGTTTGGGTTTTCGTCGCTTGGCAACGACGTTGTAAAACAAGCCCCCCTCTCGGTGTTTGCCATCGGGATTGGGTTTTCGTCGCTTGGCAACGACGTTGTAAAACAAGCCAATTCACTTCGTGAACTCGGCAACCAGGTTACCGTTTTTTTTTTTTACCTCGGTTTTTTTTGGCGGTAACCATAATGGTGGTCGAGTAGATCACGTTGTGCGGGGTCGAGAAACCTCACTCCGCGCAACGGGGGATGATCGCACCACGTTGTGTTAAAATGGTCAAGCTTCCTCGAGGCAGTTACACAGTGCTTACAACTGTCTCTGGAAGTGAAAGCACCAGAAAATAAATTAAGTCATACGTAGCTGTCATCCGTACGCAAGGAAGTAAGCACAAGATGCCGAACACCCTTAGCAGGATGCAGCTCACCCTTCATGCGACTCGCCAAATACCTCACGGCGCTTCGCGCTTGGTGATGTGAGAGCCTGGTCCGGTGAGAACCCGGCGTGCTCCGTCCCGGCTTTGTAGGGATGCGAGGTCAATGGTCAAACGACTACGGCATGCACGACTATGAGTACACCCCCCCTTCCCCCCCGTCCCGGCTTTGTAGGGATGCGAGGTCAATGGTCTAACGACTACGGCATGCACGACTATGAGTACACCCCCCCCGAGGGCAACGCTCAAGATTCAAGCAAATCGAGAAAAGCAGGTTTACGCGCAACGATGGCATAACATCCCCCAAGGGCTAGAAGAACCTCGGGGGGATACAAGCAAGACACACGATCTTTCCTTCCTCCGCAGAAAAACTCCATACGTCGCAGGAGTAATTACCGGCACGAGCAGTCAACTTGACTCTGCCCCGGCCATCAACACTCGAAATTCGAACACGTTCGGTCCAACACTCAAACTTACACAGTACAGCTACAACAACACCAGACCCCTCAAGACAAAAACGCCTGACGCCTGTTGCGAAAGCCAGACGTTTTCATCAAGTACACCTTGTGATGATGACAGGGGATATACGCGCACAACCGCACACCTCAATTCAAATCATGAGGCAGGGATCATGGACTGGCAGAGGGACTGCCAACGATCAAATAAAAAACGGCGATCTCGCTGCTTGTTCTGCATAGCGGAGAATCGTACACTAGTTACAATTGAAACAACAACACCCACATTTACATATCACGGGGGTTCCGTGACGAGCGCTGTAGGTAGGTAGGGAGGGGTGCAGCCAGCGGGTCGCGCTGGACCTCCACCATAGAGCATCTTTTTCCGACCAAAGTTTGGTCTAACGCTGTATCCATTCCAAGACGTTGAATGAACCACGCGCTCACTCGCTTGCGAACACGAAGCACTTTGAACACAAAGAAAACAGGTACAACCTGCAGACCTTCCCTCCAAAAGCATGCAACTTCACAAGAGTACTAACAATCTACTGGTCAACCCAGCATATATTCAGACAACACCTTTGTATCTCCACATACTGCTGTACGCCCACTGCTGTATCACCACCTATAATTACACAATTTTTGTTGTCCTCGACGGGATTCAACCCTTTGGTAGTCGTCGATCGAAATGCGACCTGAGAAAAAATGCCAAATACGAGAGTTCCAGCTGAGAACTATGCCCAATACAACAAAATCGCCGCGTTGGCACACACAAAGAGTAGACATTCCCCCTCAGCCGATGTCACGTTTCGTCTGGACTTCGCCCATACGAAGGGCATGAGAAAAAATGCCCCGCAAAGTGACAACTTCTGTACACCAAAATAGCCCGGCGCAACACATCACCGGGCCGGTAGAGAGCAACAGATGGTTCAGTGCCAGACGCGGTGGGGTCGCTAGCACACGCCCCGCCGCTTGGCGGTTGACGATCCTCACCCACAATGCTCCCCCCCATCTCGACCATGAAAAATCCGTCATACCCCTCTCGTTTGCTGTTCCTGCCACGCAAATACTGCTACTCAACACAGTTTCTCACGGCTGGGCGGAATAGACCCGCCGGGGAGCTAGCTCACCCTTGGCCTCGGATGCGGGTTTATTTATTTTTGCCCTCCTTGGACTTATACTTCCACTTATCCTTGGACTTGTCTTTCGTCTTGCCCTTCGACTTATCTTTCGACTTGTCCTTGGACTTGTCCTTCGACTTATCCTTCGGTTTATCTTTCGACTTATCCTTCGACTTGTCCTTCTTCTTGCAGCCCTTCTTCGACCTTTTCTCAACGTCTACGCCGTCCGACTTGCCGGTCGTTAGCTCTTCGCCGCCCTGGATGGCCATATGACCCTTGGGCTTGGCGTTCTTGGGCTTCTGGTCAGCTCTTGAGAGCTCAACCCCGCTCGATCTGCCGTGAATCGACTTTAACTCTTTGTATTCAGTGGCCTCTTTCCTGCTGCTCTTCAACTTGGCTAAGACGACCTGATAATACTCTTTCAGGTTGTCGTCGAGTCCGGCCGCTTCCGCATCCTCAACTGCCTGCCGGCCGGTGCTCAACTTCGCGCTTCCCTCGGCGTCTTTGTCCTCAGACTTCACCTCCCCCGACCTCTCGCTCTTCTCGAGACTAGGCGTCTCCTCCTGCTCGTGGCTACGCGTAGATGGCGGCAGCGCCGCCTTCGTATTCTGCCGAGGCGATGGTTCTAGCTCCTCCGTCGTGCCGAGGCGGACCGCGGTGCCTGTCCTGATGGCGTTGCCGTAGTACCGCACCCACCCACGTTTCTGGACAACCCTTGTCCCACTGCGGTCAAATCGTACCCCTCGCTCCGGTCCGGCCTTGATCGTTCGCCATTGTTCCGCATCAAAGGTTCGAACCTCGTCCCGCGGTTCTTCGGTAGTCTTGCGCTCTCCCTGGACTTGCGGAGGCGTCCCGTCCACGTGCGGCGCGCGCCTCCCGTCATCTTGCCGGTCGGTGGTTTGCTCAAGGGCAGCGGCGCGCTGCTTGGCGATTTTCTCACGCACAGCGGCGCGGAGGCCCCTATTACCATCGCCGCCACGTTCTTCCGTCATGCCGCCGTGCTTGCCGAAGTCATTGTTGCTGCTACCGCCGCTCCTGCGCTCGCCGCCGCCCACACCTCCGCCCTCCTTCCCGCCATGGAAACGTTCGGCGTATTGCTCACGCAAAGCGGCGCGGAGGGCCGTCTCATCATCCCTGCCGCCGCGTTCTTCCTTCATGCTGCCGTCGCATTTGTCGCCGCTACCGCCGCTGCTGCGCTCGCCGCCTACACCGCCGCCCTCTTTCCCGCCATCTAAACGATCGGCGTACTGCTCACGCACAGCGGCGCGGAGGCTCCTCTCATCATCGCCGCCACCTCGTTGTTCCTGCATACCGTCGTGCTTGCCGGAGCCATTGTTGCTGCTACCGCCGCTGCTGCGCTCGCCGCCGCCTATACCACCGCCCTCCTTCCCGCCAACTAAACGCGCGGCGTATTGCTCACGCAAAGCGGCGCGGAGGGCCCTCTCATCATCGCCGCCGCCGCGTTCTTCCTTCATGCCGCCGTCGGGTTTGTCGCTGCTACCGCCGCTGATGCTCTCGCCGCCACCTACACCGCCTCCCTCCTTGATAATACCGTCGTTTTCGTCGTCGCACCGATTGTTGCTGCTACCGCCGCTGTTGCGCTCGCCTCCGTCTACCTTCTTGACCATCATGCCGACAGAGCGTTCCGCGATCTGCGGGACACACGGCAGCAGGGCGGCGTTGCGTTCTTCTGCCTGCTCAACGCCGACCATGCGGCGGCCCGCAGGCCGGTGCAGCTCGCAGCCGACGGGAGCGCCTCAAACACCCCCGGGTGTTGGGCGGCGCCGTGACCTAATGCCCCGTACCCTCCCGGAGAGTTCCAACGCCCGCACGCGCCCAAAAACATAACAAAGAGGCCCGCGACTGCTAACTTCCACCGACTGCAACAAGGACGTAGTACTCCAGGCCGCATCTATCGCCACCCGAAGCTTACCAGCCGAGGCCGACGCGCACAGCTGTCAACTGGGGGAGGCCAGGGTGTCCATGCACGTGGAGCAAAGCACAGGTGCACCGGTCTCCTAGCAATACCCAACGCCAGAAAAATACTCTTGCGTCGCTTGCATCGTACAGGGACATGCCCGGTACGCCGGCAATCGTCACGGAATACGGGTAGGAAAATGAAGTCGGGCTTGGGGGGGGGGGGGGGGGGGGGG